TTAAATAAGCTCAGATTACCACTTAAATCAGTTTCTGTTGCTTCTTTGGATGCATTTTCGGAGTTACAATTAAATGGATCCTTTGAACCAGACTCAGATTTATTAGTTTGGTCAATAGTTGGATTTTCCAAATCTGAAATTTAATATGGTATATAAATTATAAATTAGAATTGCTTTGTATCTAATAAATTATGTTAATAATTTAAATAAGTGCAATTAAATTGACTGTATAGAAGGATTATGTACTTGTTTCATTAATTTCTTTGACACTGGGTAACATTCGATCAAATGAGCTTAGATTACCACTTAAATCGGTTTCTGTTGCTTCTTTAGATGCATTTTTAGAACTGGAATGAAACAGATCCTTTGAAATGGACTCAGATTTATTAGTTTGGTCAACAGTTGGATTTTTCAAATCTGAAATTTAATATGGTATATATAAATTACAAATTAGAATTGCCTTGTATTCTTGTAAACTATGTTAATAATTTAAATAGTGCAATTATATTAACTTTATAGAAAGATTATGTACTTGTTTCATTAATTTCTTTGACACTGGGTAATATGTAATCCAATGTTACTACAGGTGTCCTTGTTTCTTCTAACATGGGTGTTTTCAAAGATAATATTAAATTTCGTTTTCTTGAATGTACAGGTGCGTTCACTGAACCACTATTATTTGTTTCTATAAGATTAGTTATTGTAGCTTCGGAGTCCACAGAATTAGCTCTTGTTCTATATGTGGGTCTTGTTGTTACTGGTGACAACATAGTTTCAGAGCCAGCCCTTGTAAATCGTTTACTGAAAATAAGCATGTTAAACAAGGGAATCATAACATGTTAGAATCACCATCATTACAAGTATGGTCAAATATTACATGTAAGAAATGTGCAACTTGTAATGCATGTTTTGTGAATGTAAAATTACTTAAATATAAGTTAGGAACAGATTCCAAACATTCTATACGAATTCTGTTATTATTAGACTGCGGATTTCTATGCAAATACATGTATTTTATACTGCACGTGTTTTGCTTATTTTAGATACTTTTATTCTGTCGCCAGTTTTACTTGTACAAATCTGTGAATTAGTACACTTCCATCTAATAACTATTGTATAATTAACTCAAATTATGCCTAAGAATTCCCTCGAAAACTTTCGGTGTGTAAACATTATCTTTAATTGTACAACAATATAAATATTTCAAGCTCAGTTTAATTCTATTATTCTCGGAGTTAGCTTTTATTATATACGTTAGCGCTTAACAGTTTATAAACGAAATGAAGAAATAAGTAAGAAATTCTGAATAAATCAAATGTAAATTTCATTATTCAAGGAGATGTTATTAAATGTTAAACATGTACTAAACAAATTCCTTGTGACAAAAAGTCACAACTAACTCAGCATGCAGTATAATAATACAGAAACAGACACAAACAGTCAACAATTAAATAAAAATCAATTTTATAGAAATCTATGTAAAGCGATGGTAGCTATAGAAATGTCCTGCCGATGTATGGATAAAACAATGTAATAAAATTTTCTTCGGAAATATACAGGCAAAACTGTACCTGACGAATCTACACTTGTAAAAAGAGTCTAACAGGATAAGGAGGTCTATCAGCGCTCGGATAAATTGTTATTGCTATTATTTGCTAATCATTGTCTCTCACCTGAAATATCATTCTGTAAAATTTCAAGTCCATAACCCTTTATTAAGGGTAAAAGTTAATAACAAAAATGAAACAAATACTACTGGTTACCACTATTTGCCTAATTTCTTTGGGGCTGTACGTTATTTATTAAGGGTGAAATAGATATTTTTCTCTTTTCACGGCGGTTTTATTCAAACGACCCCTTGAGTGGTCACTACCATAAAAATCACAAATAATATTCTATTACTTAACTTTTATATATAAAAATATTGGAAAGGTGGAGAGACTGGAACACAGTTAAAAAGAAATGCTACCTCATTATCCAGGCGTGTTCATTATGGACAGTCTTAGCAAAACAGAAAATTATAATTTTTCTTTTATTTATTGTGTGAATTTATTTTATTATCTATTATCAACAAATTATTAAATCTATCACTGTTGCTTCGTATATAATAAGCTATCAAAGCCTTCGGATACCAGGTACATTTTAGAGAATTCAACTGATTAACCAGTTAACAGTGGGATTTAGGTTTAAAAATCTCTCATTGTGCGCTCAATAAAGTCAAACAATGAAGTGCATACTCGCCAAACGTAATGCAAATGTACCTATAATATATTCTAACAAAAAACTAAAGCAAAACAGAGAAAAATTACATATGTATCTGAAAAAATAAGTAATCCATCAATAAAAAGATTAGTATCATTTCGAGTTTTAAGATGACGTGTATACTCGTCAAACGCAGTTAACTGGTCAATAGAACCTGTCACAACGCGACACTAGATAACTATAACAAATGCAGATATAAGCAGCTCCAAAGCAAACGGCCCTTCAACCCTCGACCTTTAGCAGGCCGGAATTTCTGGACATAGACATATCAAATGTGGAGAAAATTCTTTATTTTGGGGGACGACGTGTAAAGCTCCGGAGTTTGTGCTGGCATTGAGTCTTAGATTTACAACCACGCATCACCATGGCAGGCAGACAAGGGCTAAGTAAGTGAGTACTTACAACTGCGCATCCCCACACTGCAACCATGGACGTTAACGTAGACAACTAATAAAATTCCATCTTTTTCCTGAAAACTATCCACTTTAATGCCACTAACGCATTAGAAAAACGCCGAGACCAGCTAAGCAAAAGTCATTATGCGAACACATTCTGCTAGATACATTAAGGTCTCTAAGTACATAGTTCTTACAAAGTGACACTTGTTAGTGAATCACTTCTGTCTCCCTAACGTTCTAACAGTCTCCATCGCTATTAATTTCGTGTTAGAGGTGGACAAACAAGAACGATCGATGGAACACGTTGTCGTGAATATTGTCCACGCCACAACAGAGCCTTCTGCAGTTGTGGGCCACATGCCTTGTAATTTCAATGCTGAAGAATTTTCCAAATTCGTGTGTCTTCAAAAACTTAGCGCGCTTTATTACTTTATTATTTATTGATCCCCATCAGTTTACAAGTAAATACCTATCAATTATCTTGTTAAAACAGTAGCTCAAATGTTGAATATTTAATCCTTAATAGTCCAGTAATGTTCGACGGATACATTTTTAAATGTATTTATTTATATAAATTGTTTCTTTGAATGAGTTATAATATTTATAATTTGTATAATTTTTTCCACGGTAAATTAGAACACTATTTACGCGGTAGTTTTTATGCGCGAACTTAGTTTACATAATCTGAATTAGTAACACCGAATAAAATGTACTTTTATTTTCTGAAATGTCATTTTTATTTATTTTGTCTGGTAAAACTTATACCAGCTTTTCTTGCCAATATCTTGTTTTCTCTTATGCCGACAGATTCTATTTCCACGATTTTCATTCGCGTAAAACGAAGCAATGTGAAACGGATTTTCGCCTAAATCGAGGGTCAGGTGTAATATTGAGAATCTATCTGTTGGACAGTGTTGGTCAGTTACGGTGCGAAAGTATACTGGGGTTGTTACGAATTAAAAGAAAATAATAATATTATAAAAATAAAGCTTTGTCTAAGATGTAATTGTAATAGCTATACAGGTATAGAAATATATACGTGTGACTGTGCGAATGGTAACCGGACAGTGGGATGTTATTCCCACGCTGCAGCGATTGTATATTATTTGTCACATGGGTGTTACACGGCAAAAGTTATTGGGCCATCCAAAATACTGACACATTCATTTGAATCAACATATACAATAACAGTCATCGATGAAAATGGAGACAAAGATTGATCTAACATCTTTTAATCTTTTATATTACCCTTGTTATTATTTATTTTAATTCTATTATATTTTTAATTTCAATCATTACTTTAATTTTCTCTTCAGTTATATTTAGATTTTATATCTATTTACGCAGTTTATTTTGTTAAGTCAACCTTCATCATATAGTTATTACAATAAATATTTATTTTTGTAAATGTCACATCTTACCCCACTAAATACCTTATATGTTCATAATAACTGTTATTATTATTATTGTTACTATTATTATCGATATCACGTCCATCATAACATTCCTGCGTCCATTTGAAAACGTATTCTTCATCACCTCTATCTCAAGACGATTATTTATACTGAAATGTCCCGTTAGCATTATAACTGCGTTTACTTATAAACCTAACTCTATATATAGCTAGGAAATAAAACAATAGTAGTAATCACTGAAGAGGTTGTTTAAAACAACCATTCCAAAAAGTAAAAAATATCTTTTCTGCCCGTAATAAGTGACTTACAGTTCCATAAAAAAAATAATTGAGCAAGTAGGGATAATTAGAAGCGTTCTTTTTCATTTGTGGATCATTCGAATATCTTTAATAGTAATCGAAAAAATAATAATACAGTTTTCGAAATGGTACCAGAATGATGTTTCAAGAGAGGGGCAAGATTTAGCAAAAAAATATCTTGAAAACCATCGCATCGAAAAACTGGAGAGCCAAATCAAGTACTAATCGAACTCTATAAAACTTAACTATGGAGCAACTGTATAGAAGGACGCATTTAAGATCAAATCACGTATACAGAATGGTGAAGCATATTGTAAGAGTCTAGCTATTTCAATTTTATGCGAGGCTTACATGAAAAATTTCATTTCTGTAGTTTAAAAACGTCTGGATATTGCTTTAAAAAATATAGAATAGAAACCAAAAGGTTTTATTTAAGAATTGTGATGTACATTTTGTAGGACGTTTCGAGGTCATGTCACGGTTAAATACCTCCCGCGTAAGATTTATTTGATACATTTGTTCGTATCACTGATACTTTTAGAGATACTTCAGTGTTCTTGATTCAGTTCCCACACATTTTTTTTAAACTAAACCTATTTTTATTTCGGAAACTACTTTTGAGTTTTGGACCCATGTTCACTGAGGTTTTCTTACTCAATTTAGTCAGTTGTACACACCCTATCATTTATGCGCAATAATTTTGTTACACCATGTATGTAGTATTTTACACCCAATAACTTTTGTTTAACATATTTGTTCGTATCACTGATATTTTTTAGATAATTCAGTGATCCCAATTCGACACCGATCTCGACCCATGATAGGGTTTTTTTACTTAATTTAGTGAGTTGTAGACGCCTTATCATTTATGAGTAACAATTTCCAAACACCCTGTGTTTGTTTGGAAATTGGGTATGAATGTTTGGAAATTGTTGCTGTATGTATATAATGTAATATTATGTAATATTATACCGTTTTCATTAGATGTTTTTCTTTTTAAGGAATTCACAAATAATTTATTCATTTCATCATTATTTCTTCCTTTAACTGAAAAAAGAAACAAGCTACAAAATGGTTCAAATATTTGTTTAACTACCTGTATTTATATTACACTTTTCTCAGTTTTGGAGATACTTATGAAAAGGGACCTTTTATCGCATTTGCAGGACAAATACTCTATAGTGCGCCGTGTACACAGAATTTTCACACTGACTTCAGTTCTACGGAGGCGTTATTAGACCTTCGGCGTCAGAGTAATAGGAAAATGCATCACGTTCTTTATTTCAGTAGAAAGACCACCGAGATCGAAAGCTGGTCCCACAGTTACGAGCTGGAATTGATGGCGATAATATATGCACTGGATAGGTTTCCAAAGAAGATAGGTCTCCAAAGAATACTACTCACGATAGTAACTGACTACAACTTCATAAAACTCGTACTGAATAAAAAAGATATAAATTCGCGTATTGGTCGATCGACATTGTCATTGCAAAATTACAACTAAAAGATTGAGACATTACAATTAAAAGAATGAAATCGGATGATGCATATTGATGTTCTTAGCCACGTGGTAATGGTGATCGAGCCTTTGTTATTCGACCAAATACTCATATATAAGCAACTAAAATATCCTGAAATTTTGAAATTGCACCGTGAACTTGAAATACAAAAAAGAAAGCACTTCAAATTACGTAATGGTCTGTTATATCGTAAACTCCGTGGCGGGCTACTATTTTACGACCCCGAAACAACGGTCGCAAACGTCATTCATGACGAAGTAGGACACGTAGGAATAGGAGAAACCGTCGATCTAATCACTCAGGTATATTGGTTGCCAAATATTAACACGTAGAGTGCTACGTCAGTCCCTAGGGACTGACAGTGAATTTTCTGTTTAAGCGGCGTCAGTCCCTGGGGACTGACAGTAGACTTTTCGTTTGGGCAGCGTGGATTCTAGGGACTGACAGCGAACTTCTCGTTTGGTCGACATCGGTGCATGAGACCAGCATTTTAAAGGGTTAAATTATTAATGACAATTAAAAAATTTATGTTAAAATTTAGTGTACTGCCGTGGCTTTTTCAGACTGATCGTTTCTTGGTGTTCGCACTTTTGTCTCTCTGGCATTCCCCACCCCATTATCTTATGTTTATACATTGTATACATGTGCATTGCCTGCACCATTGTCACAATGCAAACGACAAAAGAAACAGTGAAAAAAAGGAATCGTCTGTTGCGCTGTGTCGCGCGGTCTAGTTTAGCGTTCGGCATCAAATGCTCACGCGCTGCCGCCTGAGCGGAAAGTATAGCAAAATCGGCGCCGCACTCAACGTGTTAAGCAGCGATAAATGATTACATAGATAATTACCTTAAATGTTTAAGTTACAACGTATCGTCAGGAAAAAAAGAAGGACAGTTACACTCAATTGATAAAGCTACCGAATCCCTCCAAACCATTCATATTGACCATTTGGGGCCATTAGAAAAAAAGTGTAAGGGCAATAAATATATCTTAGTGAATGTCGACGCTTTTACCAAATTAATGGTGCTATACGCGATGAAAGGTACGAAAGTTAAAGAGACTGAGAAAAAATTGTAACTTTATCTGTAACACTTCGGACTCCCCAAACGCATAATTTTAGACCGTGAAACTAACTTTACGCCATCAAAGTTCCAAGCATTAATGAATGAACACGACATTTAACGTGTAAAGGTTTTAACTGTAACTTCGAAGGTTGAACGGTCAGGCGAAACAAATTAACCGTTTTCTTCGCCCGATTTGAGCAGAACTGTCAAACGAGGGACACTAAATTTTGAGACACATCGTCGCAAAGACGAATATTAATCTCAAGTTGTTGCTCAAGTTTTAAGGACTATACGTTGCATCGCAATGACTGTTATGTGATCGGAAACATCCGAGGATTCCAAGTGAATACACAACCATTTTCCGGAATTTTCGAACCTAAGCAAATGAATCCATGGATAAGAGGAAAGCGAGAGCGGAGAAGTCGGGACGACCATAGTATCAAAATGGCTGAACTGAAGATGTCTAAATGTCTAGAGTACTTAGGATAAACCATGACGAATAGAATCACGGGGCGAAACGAATAAAAATAAGAATATTGGTCATATTTATTACGTTGTTATAGGAATCAGCATGTTGACTGTCGATATTACTTCATACACTTTCCCTACAATTAATCTAATACATCTTCAATTGTTTCAAACCGTTGTTTGTCACCAACATGCGTTAGAATCGAAGTAAACGCGTGCGAACGCGACGAATTTGTGGCTAGTCTAAAATACGTTGGAATTTCACACTTAAAATGGCAAGTTAAGCTTAGAAACTCAAATGTGTTCATTATTATTAGTCTCTAAGATATCTAAATTCAGTATTTAATGTACCTTAGATTATTATATTTTATTTTGTTCATATATCGTATCCACTTTGAAACCTTTCGAAACAGGGCTATTCGAATTAAATCGCGTGGGGCGAATCGGATTTCTGCTTTCCCTCAGTTTTTCATGTCCATGGTTATAAATATTATAATTATTTATATATATAGAGGTACAGAAAGGCACAAATCAGAGATCACGGAGCCCAGAAACAATAAAAGACACAATAATAAGATTCTCCGTGAAAAACAACAAAAGAAGTTAAAGATTAGGCCAACGAAGGACACTATAAAAATAAGAGTCAAGACCAATAAGGGCAGATGAATTAATAACATAAATATAAGATCTTCCAGAGAATAATACTGTATTTATTGCAATGGTGCGATCGCGCTTCTCCGTTACACAGTGACACCCTACTGGTTCGTAGAATGAAATTAAGTTTATTTATTTGTTTTCCTTCTAATTGTTTATTTTTATTTTTGTTAGTACCTGCTTAGAAATGGAAAAATGGAACAATTTTTACAATTTTCTTATATAAAAACAGAAAAGAGTAATTCAGTTTCTGAACTGAAACAAAAGAAGATCATGCTGCTTGACACTTTCCGACCGAATTTTTGGAAAGACCCGTGGCACTTAAACGGTTAAAAAGACTATTAAATCATATGAGCCATTCTAACATATTCGAATGTGAAACACTTGTCAAATTAAACTGTAGCAACTAGCAGTGCGTCAGAAGAGAAACTTTCAGCGTACAAGGGTTCAGTAAGATTTATGGTATTCGCGACATAAGACTCTATTTTTGAGAAAGTGTCCTTAGCATTTTTAGACATTTGGCGGACAGACTACTTCACGTAGTTTTCCTACGACAATCTCAATAGTGCAAGGGCTTGCAGTTTCAAATGTCCAAGCAACGTGCGCTCTGGTTTTCGTTAGTCGGTGAAAGTTCGGTCCCGGTCACATGAGCCCAAGGCTACACATCGCACTTATATTATATAGACCAAGAAAACACTACGCTGCATCACCAAAATTATCTCTAAGTTTGACAACTGCTTCCACTCTTCCAGCATGAAAAGGCGTAAAAAGTTGGTGACCGTCTGCAAAATTTCCCGATTGGTGAAAATCAGTTTCAGTGAAGCTAAAGCTTTTTGTTTAAGGGAAATTCCCTTTATAAGGGAGCGAGCGAAGACAACACCGGCCGTAAGTAAGAATACACACAGTATACGCCGTTCGTTTGTATACGCGGAAAATAAAAACTCTCTTGCAACCTGATTCTAAACATTCATTTGGACACCCACCCCAGTGACATACGTCCCTTCAAAAAAATTATTAATGAAAAAAATGAAAGTAATGTTTTATGTGTCATTCTCATATTAGCGTTCAAAGTGTGTACTTGGTAATTTATTCTATAATGTATAATTAATTATATATTTTATATATATTTATATATATATAATTATATATTTATATTTATATTTATATTTATATATATATATATATATATATATATATATATATATATATATATATATATATATATATATATATATATATATATATATATATACAGGGTGTTCAGAAATTATGCCGCACAAATGAAAGAATGAGAATGAGAATTGAGAACAGCGAATTATCTCGAAAAATGTCAATGATACAAACAAATTTGTTAGACAAAAGTTACAAACCCTGATATGTCCAGCAAAGGTAACGTTATAATTCTTAAATAGAACTCTATAAGTTCTATTCCATATTTTTGAAGCTGACATTCAGACATTTTCAAACCACTAGAAATTAAATCTTTCACGTAAGCCATTATCAAGATATCAGCATCCAAAATGGCTGGTTCGTCGGTAGTGCTAGTCGAACACAAACACCGAATAAAATGTAGTTTTGTCTTCTAAAATGTCATTATTATTATTTCTTTTGTTTAGCTATGTGAAATAGATATGTATTTCAAAAACTTGTACCAGCTTTTCTTCCCAATATTTTGTTTTCTTTTGTACCAACAGACTCTACGCGATTTTCATTCGCGTAAAACGAATCCACGTGAAACGGACTTTCGCGTAAATCGAGGCTGCGTGCGTGCGTGCGTGCGTGCGTGCGTGTGTATGTGTGTTTTGTTTATAAATCAATGTCTTATGATAAACTATATCAATTTACAGTAGAAAACCCTGAAAAAACAACTTTTATATACTATAATGCAAATTATGACTAATAAAGTTGTATGGTAAAATTATTGATACACATACACCCTACGTAGTATTAACATATTTTCTACATATTGCTTACATATCTGGATATATTTTTACTGGATACAAATCTGCAGTCTACTTATCATTCTTAGACCTTCCGATGACACTCAGATATGAGGACAGATTACAACCTATATCTGCATATCTTTATATGATTTTAGCAAAGTAAATCCAAATACACTAACAATAAATTCCAAATATGAAAAGTATGTTAACTGAAAACACGCATGCACAGTGTTTTCGAATAATTTAAAAATATAGTTGAATAATTTCACATTGAATGTTTGACACACACTTCGTTAATATAATTATTTAATAATCTTATTTGTAATGGTACTTATAACTTTTAAAGAACTGGTGTCTTATAATAGATATTTATTATTTGAAAAGTAATTATGATAGTCAGTCATTAACTATTCTACGTACCTAGTTTGAAAATCAGTCTTATTTAATTCTTCATTATCAAAAATGTTTCTATTTCTCTTTCCTGAAGTAACAATAGCAGTTTCTGTATCTGACATGTCAATTGTATCTGACATAACTGAATTTCTTCTAGAACGTAAAGTTTTATTCTTCTCGGTCATAGTAGAATTATCTGCAAAATCTATTTGACGTCTGGTATTTTTTGTTGTGTGAGTACTGCTAATGTTACCAACATCTTCTACAGATGTTTCAGGTGGTGATTTATTTTGTTTAATAAGAGATTTCACTCGAGAACTACGACGTATTGGGGATTGTGCAGTTTTTGAGCTGATGATATTTTGAATCCTACGACCTGTAAATTCAGAAGGAATATATAAAGAAAACGGAGAAAATGCATTCAGTTTTTAAAGAAAATACTTTACAAAGATAAAAGAAACAAATTCTCGCAATGTCATACGAATTAATACCGATTAGGTATTATTCAATGCCGAGTCGATCGTTATATTTGATAGTTAGATGAACCGCGTGCGCACATATAAATAAAAAAATGAAAAAGTACAAACCTGTTTTTACGTTCACATCCTCGTTTGTATTTTTTTTAGAATGTGACATTTTAGTTTTCGTTAAAATTATTTATTAAACACTGATAAACACATAAAAAAGAATAAAACTAATAGATACTCTGAACATAAACACGTGCCAACGTTCAAATTCGCACTATACAGTTTGAAACCTTGGTTATCCGTAGGCAGAGCTATGAGCAAAACTGCGAACAATTATCTGCAGAGTGGGGAGACAGAACTTGTGTTAGTAAATAAACGAGGTTAATTTCGCGCGTTTAACCGCGCATAGTCAGGCGGTCTGATGTGATATATTGTAAATTTGATTTTTTTCCTAGATTCCTAAAATCGTTCAATCTTTGTAAAAAAGTTCATTGTAAACGAAATTTTAATGAATTGGTTACAAACTTTTTCTATCCGATTAGAGAGTAAGAAGTGGATCATTTTTAAGCTTTAAAAAAAAACTTAAAATAATAATGAAATAAACATAAAAAGAAAAGTTATATCACTTATACAAAAAGAGTAATCTTTTTGCTTCAAAATAATTCCATGCAAAAGGTGTTTGGTTAAAGATGAACGAAATTATCAACAATGAAAGGATGATGCATTTGAGTATTCTAATGTTAGGGATTACTGAAATAAAACTATTTCAATAACAATAATAAATAAATCATTTCAAAAACCAAATCATTCATTATTCGTGTGGGGAACGTTATCATACGTAGTACTGGATATAACTTATTCGAAAAAACGAATAAATTCAACGTATTTATTATTTGTGAATGGCGAATATATTAATTATTCGTTATTCACAAATGATAATTATATTGAATTTATTTGTCATTTTTTATTTATTTTAAATAACTTTTGGCTAACACTATCTATAGTACGTGTAAATGTATACATATGAGTGGAACGTGCTTTGAAGCTCATTATTCTGTCTATAAAACGATATTTATGATAATAATAATTGTAGAAAGTCGAAACCGTTAAAAGAAATCGACGGTTAAACCGTCCTCAAAACGGTTTTCATTTTTGGTTAATAGCTCTCCTGCCTGTTCGTCGGTGGTAAAGATGAGCATCACCTAATCGTAAACACTCAGAGAAAGAAAGAGAGCGAGAGAAAGAAAGAAAGTTGACTACAGAGAAGCTTTGTAAAATTTTGTTAATATTAAATAAAATTCTATTTCGATTACTAAGGTTTTGACTCCCCCAATAATTATCCTACAATAATAAATTTCTAAAACTTTTGTAGGTGTAAATAGTAAGAAGTTAATTGAAGATGGTAATTTTTTAATAAACAGAAGTTTATAAGATTTTTCAATAATTGGATTGATAACATCTTTTCTTTCTTTTGGACATTTGATATTTCTTGTATATCGAGTCTTCTTTATTATTTATAATATGTAAAAATATATGATACATATTTATTTGTTTTATATTGCTTTTTGCATTGTATAATGTTAATCACTCCAGTTCTTTCATCATGGTTTTAATTGAGTGTGAAATACAGATTACTAAAACACACTTTTAAGGGAAAATACTTTGATTATATTGAAAAAGAAAATTTGTCTTAAATAATAAACATTTAACATTATATCGTATAATTAAATAATCGAGACATCATTGAAATAAGTTTGCTATGTTTGTTCACTTTATGGAATAATGAAAATGATCAACACTTGAAAGTAATTACAATTATACTAAAATAGAATTTATGGATGTATAACAAGTGAATGAGAACTTAATATATTTATGACATATAGTGGTAAAAATAATCCACCAAATGATGTCTCTTTCTTGAATTTAAAAGAAGTATCCATGAAAAATTTTGTTACACAAATACAAATTCAATATAATTAGTTTAACTTGACTATACTTTTGTAAAAAATGTTCTATTTTCATTGCAGCATGAAATTGTTATTTGTGAAAACCTAACAAAAATAAAATTTATAATTACTGATAACATCTCGTTATACAAACTAAATATATATTTAAATAATGATTTATTACCAACTTCTTTTTTCACTAAAAGCTCTTTGCTTCAATAAGGACATTCAATAATTTGATAAACGCTGAGGTGAATTTCTGTGGAATGTTTTTTCTCCAAACAACGCTACTTCTGAAGTATTTTTATTTTTCTTTAATTTCTGAAAACCCTCAACATAAAAATTAATTGTACTACCATACAAACTTAATGGAGTAATCTCTTCATACAGAATTAATTTATTCTTTTAACTGTTAAATCAAGCATTGAACGTGATAGAAGTTCTTCTTCTTCATGCATTAATAGTTTTCTTCTTTTTAGTATTTTCAAAATACAATCGGTAGCTTCCTCAGAACGACGTTTTACACCTTTTTTCAATTCCTCTATCCTATTGAAATCTCTTGTCTGAATTCTATATTTTCTTCGATTCCGCATTATTTTTCCTTTTATCATTCTGTCACCATTATTCTTTTTTATGTCTTTTTCCATTTTTTTAGTAGGTGTCATAATTTATAATTTTTTTTCTATTTTTCAGAACATGAGATAAGTCCAAGTTCACAAATTTTTTCGATTTTCCTTTTTCCATAATTGAAGTATCTAAAGATTTATTTAAGATGGATTTAATATTTTCTCTGGAAACCTTATTCTGCTGTCCTCTTTTCATTACTTTCCGCTGAATATGTTTTGGATTCTGCATTTTTTCATACTGCTCATCTTGTTCAGTCTTTTCATCTTTGGTATTTTGATTATCATAACAATTCTTCATTACTCTCACTTTTTTGTCCTTTCTCTTCAAGAATATCATCATCATTCACTACAGAATCTGCAAGATCCGATCCATTATCATTAGGATCTGAGAATTCAGTTTCTGATGTTCTGCACTCATCACCTGGCATGTTAGCATCCGAAAACTTAGATAGTCCTTCACCATGCAAATTATATTCCCTTTCAATATCAGAGTCTATAATTTTATCTGACTTACTAGAGCTACTTGAATCACATAATAGTGAACCATGTGATTTATTAATTGATTTCGTTTTTTCCGAAGTTTCAGATTCACTGGATTCTTTAATTTCATTATTTATTTTTTTAACAGACTTGTCAAGTGATTCTCGATTCTTTAATGAATTGACTGTTTTTGAATTTTTATTTTTGATTAAAATATTATTTTGGAGGTCAAATTTTTCCGCAAGTTCTTTTGCTCCTGTTTTTTGCATACACACATTTTTTATTTCTCCTACATTTGTTTTTACATGCTTTTCTAATTTTTGAGATTCATCTTCTGAGTCAATTATTACATTTTCATTTTGCTCAATTCCTTCTTGTTGCATAGATTGTCCTGCAATCTTTGTCTTTGAAGCTTTATATTCATTTTCCTTACAATGATAGTGTCATCTGAATCATAATCAAATGATTCCTTTTCTTTTTCATTTTTCATATTTTCTACACCCTGCCATGCTTCTTTATCAACCAAAAGAAGATCACATTCATTCTCACTTTCATCTTCCAACTTTTTTTCATTTTTATGTCATTTTTATTCATATTTGAATCAGAATTATCATCTATATCCACTTTTTCTTTGTGTTTTTTATGTGTTTCTGGAATTTCATGTTTCTTCATTGCTTCATTACACGATATGGTATTGTGTACAAATATTTTTTTCTTCAGGAACTTTAGTAGACTTGGCCGATGAGTCTGTAATAATAGGAGACTATTTTTAATTACTTTATCCCTCTTTCCATTAGTAAATTCAAAATCTTCTAGCCTCAATCTAAAGATCTTTGTATTGCACTTTCATTAATAGATGAATTACTAGGTATTTTTACATCTTCTAAATCATTGGTAGTAGTTTTATTTGCTGAAGTGATAGACGATATAGATTCTTTTTTAAAATACATGTTGAATGACTTGGATGAAAATGTATGATAATTCTCTATATAAAGTAACATACCAAATGCAAAAGCAACAGTAATTTAAATTAATTGATACAGGTCTCTAATATACAACTTGTTTCTTATAACTGAGATTAAATTAGCATTTGCTACAATGTTATTTTCTATTTTTGTTCAATTTGTCTTTAGTATAAATTGCACAACTTTTCAAGGTAGACAACATGTTTTCCAATCTGCAAAAAGTATAGTCTATGAGTTAAGAAATTAATCTATGCATTATTCAAAATATAAATGAAATATTTCTAAAATTCTTCTAATGTGTTCTTAATATTACAAACATAATAAAAGCTATAAACTGTTCCCAATTACAAAATGTTTGTAAGTTAAAAGAAATAAAATGTTAAAAGTGAAATACTGAAAGTATATGTAATTAAAATAATATTATAATTTTTATCCATGTATAACCATGTTCGATTTTATGAAATTTGTATTGTTTCATTAAGTCAATTATGCATAGTAAGGGACACATGAGTCTGTTAAAATAATTAAATAATTTTCAAATCTCATTGATGTATATAAAAAAACGCATTTCAGACATGAGAAAACCTATGCTTTGGACTCATTTGCTATGGCCCATAATAGATGTACCCACATAATTCTGTTAAACTTTGTGGTAAATATGACTTTTATAACACATTACAAAAGTATTTGTAGCTAACAGGATTAATAAGTATTACAACTAAAAGCTTAATGTTGCTAATATTTTTAAGTATTTATGTCACAAATTTGATATATTATCATATGATAAATACAGTCGGTTTTCATATAATTAGGACTTTGTATGTCTATGCTGCTTCCAAAATTATAAAAAAGTATAAATATAAAATCATTAAATTTATGCTCTCTACAATTACAATTACAAGGTTTCCAGCAATACGAATTTGTTTAATCATGTGTACGTTTAACTACACATAAATAATAGGAAGATGAATATTTAAACAAAATTCAAGTAAAAATAAAGGCGCATATCAAATATTATTATTAAAATAAGAAAATAACATGAACAAACGTACCATCATGACAAGTGGAAACGGATGTTTATACACCCGGACAGGTGACTTATATTGTTGAATCATACAGAATATATTCCTCGTACATGTGCGTTTTATCGTATTCAGTGTTCGTGTCATTACACTTAGAGACGTTAAGTGAATATTTTAACACGAAATTCATTAAGGTTACGTGAATTCTTGAATAAAACTTCGTATAATTGGTTTTATGCAGTGTACTATGCACTAATTTAGAATTTTACTTAAATGTCGTCTATTAAACTGTTTATAAATATTATCTTCTTATAGATACTGTTACAGGACAAGATAAAGATAAAATGTAAGCGCGCCTTTAATAAAATTTCTTCGATTATTGCATGCATATAATATAAAAAAATAATTAAGAACTACAATTAATATCATTATAAGTGCCTTTTTGAGCATATATTTCTTTCTTTCCTACTATAGTAAAAATTGTTTTTGCATATAAAATAGTTATATTTATTATTCGAAAATTATTTACATTTTTATACATATTTCTACGTAATTCTTTATACGTAAATTATAACAAGCAAAAAGAATACCAATAAATATTTATAAACTTGTTCACAGATGTTATCTGAATTTTATCTTTAGATAGTAGATACATCTGACATTATCGATTTCTTCAAGCGCGAAACCAAGAATATCGTTTATGATATAAATGTTATATTTTTAAAGAAAATATCATGGTGTCATAAAATAATTTCAAAATTGTGAAATAATACTGAGAGTAACAAAGATGGGTATAGGTAAAAGTCAATTTACTGAAGAGGAACTCCAAGATTATCAGGTATTTAATACAATTGTAAATATTTTATATGAATTTTATTTAAAATTCTTTAACGTTACAGGATTTGACCTATTTCACAAAGAAAGAAGTTTTGCAGTGAGTACCTTTGCGTATTTCTAATTTTTAATATGTAAATAATGTATTTGAAATAGAAATATTATGTTTCATGTAATTTTTATTTCATCTTTTATTGGATATAGATACTTTTATAATTTTATATAAAGAGGATAAAGGAATCAGAAACGAACCAAAAAATAGAATGATTTTAATATTATATTAAGTAGCATTACTACAAAAATGAATTTTATTTGACATAGTGCACATCATAAGTTTAAGGCCCTTGCTCCAGAAAAAGTTGGCCACAATAGAAATGCCAAACTTCCAATGTCAAAAATCTTACAGTATCCTGAATTAAAAGTAAATCCTTTTGGCGATAGGATTTGCAAAGTTTTTAGTTCTAGTCAAGATGGAGATTGTACCTTTGAAGATTTTTTGGATATGATGTCAGTATTTAGTGATGCAGCTCCAAAAGCAGTTAAAGCAGAACATGCATTTAGAATATTTGGTAATGCTTAGTACTTAGCTGTATAATGTGTAATTAACTCCTTGAATTGAAATAACAAACCTCACTCGCATGTATTCTCAGTATGAAACAGTTATTCATATAATATATATTATATATAGATTTTGATGGTGATGACATGCTTGGTATTGGAGATTTGAGACAAGTAGTAGATAGACTTACTGCTCCTCAAAGATTAAATGAAACAGATATGCAACAAGTTCTTCAATCCATACTTGATGAAGCCGATTTGGATGATGATGGTGCATTAAGTTTTGCAGAATTTGAGCATATTATAGAAAAAAGCAACGACTTTTCCAAGTAAAAATTTCAATTTCAGTATAATTTTATATGATTTAATATTACAATAAAATATCATACGTGTTTATGTTTTCAGGAGTTTTTGTATACCTTTGTAAAATGTAAAAACTATAAAACAATGATTCAAATGAGACTGAACTAACATTAATATAACTATTAGTATAAAAACATTTTAATATGACAATGGGCCTAATCATTTTTACTAGATGAAAAATGGTAAACTTGAAAATTTAGGATGCACATGCCATTGACTTTTCAAGGCCTATGAATAACAGAAACTGTAACTTGGTTTTCCTTATTTTAAAGATACATAATTTTATAAAATGTACCTAAATGTGTTAAGTAGACGAATTTAATTAGAATATGTAACAAATCTGTTGAGTCTAACATGTATTTTTATTATTGTAATGTTATTATACCAAAGTGTTTTGTCTATCTTATACAACTTATTTAAAATGTTATTATTTTTTATCACTTGTTGACAAAA